GATGGACATGCATGTGACAAAATAACTAGTGACTTAAAATTTTTCACTTAACTACTTTTTATTTTTAGACTTCCTGATATATCACATGAATTGCTATAGAACTAAAGGTAGACAATGATTAGAAGTCAACAAATATTTCATACAATCACAAATTCAGGGGAAAAAAATGTAACATTTAAAACATTTTCCTTGTTCACAGAAGTACAGATCATCTGCATGTTACAGCAAGCATGCTTTTCATAGTCAAACTTTCAATCAACTCATCTAACTAAACTTAGATATTTACAAGCAAACAAACTGCCAAGTTACCATAGTAACAGATTTTCTAGGATGATGACAATGAGGTGTGTTGGATATTCTATTTCCACCAAAAAGTGTTGCCACTTATACTATAGAATATTCTGGATATTGTACTATCCCAAAACACAGTAAATAATTTAATCTTTCCTTGTTGATTCTCAAAATAATCCAGGAATATTAATAGAAGTATCAGTTTTCATTGTCTAGCAAATATATGCATCAAAGAAATTTGTTAACTGACAGATATTGAACAACAGAGTTTATTTCAATATATTAAAAGTAAATGAAATCTAAATGTAATGTGGTATTCTGAATGGGATACTAGAAAAGATAAAAGGACATTAGAAAAAGTGGTTAAAACCAAATCTGTAGTTCAATTAAAAGTACTGTACAGTCAGTTCTGCTATGTTTTGGAAATGCAGATTTGTTCCAATGAGTTGGCATATTAGGGAAAACTTGATCACACACAATTTTTGCATTTGCTGACACACAATTCACCCGAGAGAAACATTAGGTGAGCACAGAAAACTGCACCCAACTGAACCAAACCAAACTGCCAAACACCACGAGCAACCACAGTTTCGGGGTGTGAAGGAGCCGCCTGTCCACACCTGGGGTCCCAACTTCCCAGCATACCTCTAATCACCCTCTTCCTCTGCCCCCCAGTAACATACAAGCTGCAATCTTCCTCACCCACTTTTACAAGCAAAGTAGTTTTCAGGTCTTTTTCAAGTTAAGTGCCATGTTTTATTTTAGTATTTGTGTGTTTCTTATCTGTAACACATGCAAAATTATGTTATGATTTTTATTAGGTTCTAACTGTCCCACCAAACACAGTTTTTGAGTGCTGGACCCCTCATCCCACTTCTCCCACAAGCCCTGTGGTTTCTGCTGCACAGATCTGCCTAGCATGGTGATTCTTGGGGATATGTATGCTGCATGCAGCAGAACTGACACTCGGTGATGATTTCTTAGTTTTGACAAATATGCTATGATTATGTAAGAAAGAAAGGGAAACTAATAAAGACAGTAAGAAATGCCACCCTTGTGTTCTCAAAGTCACAGAATATAAAGTGTAAACATTTGATAGCAATGACAACCTAAAGATAGGTAGTTAGTAAGCTGTGTATCACCTATGACAGAAAATGTAATTTCAAAGTATTACAAAACTTGGTCACATTTCATCAATGTCAAATACACAATAATGACAGTAGTATAAAACACAAAAATAGCACATACCATAGAAGTTTCCCAGAAATCATAATCATCACATTTGGTTCAATCAAAATTGGTTAATCGAACTTTGGTTAAATGCCAAGGAAAAAGTTCTGCCTATGGGATCTCAAAACAGTAGGTAAAAAATCACCTTGTTGGTGTAATTTACCATTGCCTTCCAAAATACTATGCACTATGAACTTTAAAAGATAAAACCCCACTTACCCTTCCATGTACATTCATTTATTCAAAACAACTCACTGAGTTACTGCTTGTACCACTCACTCTTCCAAGTACTAAGGCTACATTAGTGAACAAGACACAAGGTCCTTCCCTTACGGATTTTTTCATTCAACAAGTCTTTAGTGAATGCCTACAATGTGACAGGTACTATTCTAAGTCAGAGGGTAAGGAAGGGAAGAAAACATGCAAAAATCCCCATCCTATTGGAACTGGCATTTTAGAAGAGGGAACATACAATAAACAAGATAAATACATAGACAGCAAACTAAGGTAGATAGTGATAAATGCTAGGAAGAAAATAAAGCAGGAAAAGAGGTTTTAAATTATAAATTTAATGGTAAATTGTAAAAATTATAAGTAGGATGGTCAAGGAGGATCAGATAGAGTGCAAAAGGCAAATTGCCATATGCTATATCAGAGGTTAAGTGCTACTAAGAGAAAAAAAATGGGTAAGGGCAAACAGTGGGAGGGCTGAAGGCTATCTGAGAAAGAATGGTCAGGGAAGGCCTTTGAGAAGAGGGAACTCTGGCATAGGGATTCTGAAGACGGAAGAGGCCCAGGTACAGGAAGATCAGAGAGAAGGGCGCACCAGGCGGGGGGCACACTAGCCTCAAAAGCCTATGGTGGGGGCAAGCATGGCATATTCACCAGACAGCACGCAACTGCCCTAACACAAGCCAAAGGGTGGGCAGGGTCACCAGCCATTGTGCCTTTTGGAGGTCATACATTTAGAGTTTAGTGACTTGTTTCAGATCAATTCAGCAAATTATTAAAAATCCATTATTATTTTGCGAAATGCAAGTCAAAGGGAGGAAGAAAAGATAAAGCAGGATGAAACACAGACACTGCCCCTGAGCAACACACATTCTCATAGCAAAACTCGGAGTGTACCAGACAGCAAAGGAGTAAGTGGCGAGATCATTTTACCAGTTTCCAAACACTGCAACTGAGAAAAGACGGGAAAGCAGAAAAGGCTGGAGATTTATCAAGAATTTTTTCAGCTCTAATTTCTTCCTCAGTTGGAAGGCATGACCTCGTAAGGAGGAATTTCAGTCGGTTCATAAAGCATACCTGATAACTCGTGAAGAGGAACTCTGTTTTACTCATTTTGAAATCCCTACCATCGTTCCAGGCACATGGAAGGTGCTCAGCCTGGGTTCAGTGGAGAAAAGCATTCATGTCCTAACAAATCAGACACTGTGACCTAATGGTTCTAAGTAATTTGAAAATAAATACCAAGTATTCAAAGAATACATTTCCTAAAAAAGGAAATAATTTCTATAAATATGTATCTTACTGATCAACATTAGAGTAAAACATTGAATAAACAAGTACAGACCTTAACTATGGGCTAAAATACAGACTCTTTAAGACCATGAGAGCCTTGGTGAAACACTCCCCCAGGGCACCTCCTGTAACAAGTGAAAGTATCCCCTCCAGCACTCTCGCAGGACATCCTTTAATCCCTTTGTCAACAGGGCACAAGACAGATCTAACTTAACTGATCGACTGCTAAGCATTCTTAGAGAACCCACATACATACAAGCACCACCCTAGGACCTGCGGATCCAAAAATAAAGAAGAGATGGTCTTGGCCTCTTAGAGTTAGTTAGCTTCAGGCTTAACATTGGTTTTCTGACGAAGGGAACAAGAGGGAGAAAGACAGAAATAAAAATGACTTAGTAAAATAGAATGTAAAAAGTAGTATACTACAAGAAGGAACAAAGAATTATGAGAACATAAGGAAAGAAGCAAGTTATGGAAAACCTCCTAGAAGAGGCTATACCTGAAGCAATTGTGGTTTTGCTTTGCAGTCACGTATTAGAAGGAGTTAGAGATGTTACTGTTGAAATTTACTGTTCTTTCCTATGCTTTCTAACTAAAGCAGAAATATACTCAAAGAAAAAAACGATTAAAAAAAGAAATCTATTTTCTCAATGTGTTTAATGACTCATAAGAAACCAGTCTTTCCACACTGTAAGCAGCATATTCTAAAACCATTATTCCAGATAATCTTCTAATTGCCCTCTGCTGTAATATAGTATACCTAAAGTATTTATCATAATTTAAATCATTATGGCAGGCCCCATAAAGGGACTGCAAGTCACTCAAAGATAATATTCATTGGATATTGTAAAACTGTTTTGCAAACCAATTCTGAAATTTCAGAAAATCAAATGTCTAAGCAATCACCACAAGACAATAACAATAAATGCACTCAAATCTAAGGAGATATGACCCTTAAGAAAAACTGTGTGACAGTGGCCCTTTTCTCTATACTAACAATTCACCGTAGAAACTCATTTCATTCAGATTAGATCAATTTTACAAAGTCATTTCATTCAGATTAGATCTATTTTACAAAGAAGCTAGAAACAAGAAAAGATACTCTGAAATGTTTACGAATACATATTAACAAAATATATTTTACATATCACTATAAAGAGCTAAAAGAAATTATTTGAAAATGAAAAAGACATTCCAAGCTTTTTCTTTTTGGTCACTTTTACCATAACAAAGACTTACTTTTTAGTACTAAAAGTAGTGCAAAATGAGTTTAAAACGTGAATTTTAACACTCCTATCTACAACTCTAAATAAATAGAGGTTCAAACCCTGGCTGTACTATATGGAATTTAACATACCACTAAATTTAGCTTTCTATAATAACAGGGATAATACAGAAGTGTTGGGAGATCAGATATGAGAATATGCCAAATCACAAAGTAAATCATACTCTATAAATTATGGTTGTCATCATTAATACCTAAGCCTACAAATGTGATACTGGGTGGAGGCAGACAAGGGTGGAATGGGGAAGCAGGACACCCGGAATTCCAGGAAGAGCCCTTAACATTGTTAAGCGGCCTGTAGCTAAAGTGTGTAACAATTTCAATCAAAAGTGTCATAATCCTTTACAGTTTATAAGCAGATTTTATACGTATCAATTCACCTGTTATTAAAACTATACAATGTGAATAAGCAAGATTGGGACTGCCAACTCATTTTAAAGATGAGTAAGCTCAAATTCTGAAGGGGTAAATCATGAAGTTCAGGTAATACTGTTACGACAGACATTATTTTGACTTCAAGATCATTTAAAAGTTAGAAATAATTTTATCATCAGAAAAAAGTTTAAATAGATAAGACATAAAAATTTTTTTAATTTAGGTTATTCAGCATGAAACAAAAAATTGTTGTTATTCACAGAAAAGGTGAAATGCTGTTAACATAGTCACTTACCAAGCCTCGGGCAGCAGAACAGAATATTCATGTGGAGAAGTGGTCTCTGGGAAGTTGGAGAGAATTGCAAGGCGGTGAGGAAGCAGGTGTGATCCATGATAAGTGAAAAGAATCTCTAGGGCTGGTACATTACTTTCCTGTACAAAAGGCAAGGGGTAAGTTTTCAGTGTAAACTTTGACTTTGTAGGACAACATTCAAAAATTTTAAATTACCTTTTATATGCAGTTCTGATATAAAGTACTTTGCAACATTCCTGATTCTTCCTAGTGTGTAGCATATTTCTCAATCTAATGCTATAAAAAGCATTTTTAAAACTCAGAATGATTAATAAAAGTTCTTAAAAATATGATTCTGTTTTACTATATCTATTAACATTACCACACAAACAAAAGGAAATGATTTTATATGCATGCAATAACATTAATTGCATGGTGAAAAGATTAAGAAAGTATAAACACTATAATTATTTTATTTGCAAAAGAAGAAATTACCCGAGCATAGGTTCTTGCTGAAAGAACAATATTCTGATTTCTGAACTTCTTAAAGAATTCAGCATCATATCTCTGTTCAGATGCATGAGGCACTCCTAGGATTTCCTGAGGGGAAACAGTTATTCAATGAAACAGCTTTTAAATATGGGTGACAAGAAAATATTAAAAACCTTTACAACTCTGCCTCCCTAAATAAATAAGGGAAATAATCAAACTATCAATGATAATTAAAGCACTTCTCTGTATTCTTCCCTTTATTTTGAAAATGGCTACATTTACAAATGCTAGTAATTAAAAAGAATTCCAGAAGTAAGTGAAAAAGGCAGTAAAAACTACATTAATTACAGCAGGACAACAAAAATCCACCACTTGGTAAAAACAAATAAGCAATATTTACACATGGCTACCACATCTGTATGAGAACTTATAGATTAACTTTACTGCTGCTGGAATGATCCATGTAAAACACAGACTAACCCACTCATTCATTCAACAAATATTTATTGAATGTCTACTACTTGCCAGGGGCACTATGACAGGTAGTGGTGATACAATAACCAACCACTTTCCCTGCTCTCCACGTACTTTAAAAATCAGGGAAGGCAAACAAGCAAATAGGAACAGATAAAGGGAAACACAAAGGACAGGTGCCAATGCTGGGTCTGGGAGGACAGGAAGCCTTCACTGAAGTTGAAACATAAAAACAAACAGAAGGGGGAAGGAAAAAAAGATGGCGATGTGAGAAGTGAGGCAGAAACCTCCTTCCATAATCACATAAAACAGAAAAATACACCAAATACAACTAATTCTGAAAAACTGACCCCAAAACAGCAGAACAGACCTCCTAGATATGGGGAAAAGAGAAGATCTCACCAAAAAGAGTAAAATAGCAAAGCAGCGATCTGGCAGAACCCAAGCCCTCTGCCCACTCCAGCCCACAGGCAGGAGACAGACACACGGAGCAGGGAGAGAGTAGAAACCCAGGACTCCTAAAAACCCACCCCTGGAGATCTACTCCAGGAGCAGGAACACACATTACATGGTGCTCTGGAGATTAGTGGGGTTAGAGAGCAAAGATGGGTGGAATACTCAGAGACTGAGATTCCAGCTGCTTGTGGCAAAGAGGTACGCACAACTGGCCCCCCTGGGACAAAAGAAAGAAAGGCAGGTAGTTTGAAAGACTGCCCAGCAGCAAGAGGGGCACTACAGGGACAAAGATTACACAGAGTTTGATGCTCAGGAAAAAGGTTAGGTGGACAAAACCATCCTGGTATGCTGAGCCCAGCAGATTGGGAACTCTCAGGAGCTTCAGACACTCCATCTATCTTGGCTGGCAACAAAGCCCCAAGGACCCCCACTGCGGTATGTAGCAGCATATGAAGACAACAGAAAACAACAGCAACTCAACAGCCTAAAACCTGTGGGATCCAGTGAAGGCAGTTCTAAGAGGAAAGTATTACAGCAATACAAGCTTACCTCAAAAATCAAGAACCATCCCAAATGAACAGTCTAAACTCACAATTAATGAAATTAGAAAAAGAAGAACAAATGAGGCCCAAGGTCAGTACAAAGAGGGACATAATAAAGATCAGAGCAGAAATAATTAAAATAGAGAAGAAGGAAACAACAGAAAGAATCAATGAAGCCAGGAGCTTTTTCTTTGAGAAAATAAACAAAATAGATAAATCCCTAAACAGACTTATCAAGAAATAGAGAAAGTGTACACACACACAAAATCATAAATGAGAAAGGAAAAATCACTATGGACACTGCATAAATACAAAGAATTATTAGAGAATATTATGAAAACCTATATTCCAAAAATTGGATAATGCAGAAAAAATAGACAACTTTCTAGAATAATACAACCTTCCAAGACTGACCCAGGAAGAAACAGAAAATCTGAACAGACCAATAACTGGCACTAAAATTGAGCTGGCAATCAAAAAACTACCTAAGAATGAAACCCATGGCCCAGATGGCTTCACGGCTGAATGTTATCAACATTTAAAGAAAAGTTAATACCCACCATCCTTAAAGTTTTCTAAAAAGTAGAAGAGGAGGGAATACTTCCAAACTCATTATATGAGGCCAGCATCACTCTAATGCCAAAACCAGACAATGACACCATAAGAAAATTACATTATTCCTGGCAAACATAGATGCAAGAATCATCAACAAAATATTAGCAAACTGAATTCAAAAATACATTAAAAAAATTATCCATCATGACCATGTGGGATTTATTCCGGGGATGTAAGGATGATACAGTATTTGAAAATGAACATCATACACCACATCAACAAAAAGGACAAAAATCACAAGAACAGACCCATAGACCAGTGGAACAGAATAGAGAGCCCAGATATAAACCCAAACATATATGGTCAATTAATATATGATAAAGGGGCCATGGATATACAATGGGGAAATGACAGTCTCTTCAACAGCTGGTGTTGGCAAAACTGGACAGCTACATGTAAGAGAATGAAACTGTAGTACGGTCTAACTCCATACACAAAAGTAAACTCAAAATGGATCAAAGACCTGAATGTAAGTCATGAAACCATAAAACTCATAGAAGAAACAGGCAAAACTCTCTTGAATATAAACATGAGCATCTTTTTCCTGAACACATCTCAGGCAAGGGAAACAAAAGCAAAAATGAACAAATGGGACTATATCAAACTAAAAAGCTTGTGTACAGCATAGGATACCATCAGCAGAACAAAAAATGCATCCTACAGTCTGGGAGAACATATTTGTAAATGACTTATCTGATAAGGGGTTAACATTCAAAATATATAAAGAGCTCACACACCTCAACACCCAAAAAACAAATAACCCAATTAATAAATGGGCAGAGAATCTGAACAGACACTTCTCCAAAGAAGAAATAAACCCACACATACATGGCCAATTAATACATGATAAAGGAGCAATGGATATACAATGGGGAAATAACAGCCTCTTCAACACTGATGTTGGCAAAACTGGACACAGAACAGACATATGCACCCCTATGTTTATCACAGCAGTATTTACAACAGCCAAGATCTGGATAAGTGTCAATCAGTAGATAAATGGATAAAGAAGAGGTGGTATATATACACAATGAAATATTATTTCAGCCATAAAAAGAAAACAAATCCTACCATTTGCAACAACATGGAAGGAGTTAAGAGGGTATTATGCTCAGTGAAATAAGCCAGGTGGAAAAAGACAAATACCAAATGATTTCACCTGTTTTTGGAGTATAAAAACAACGCAAAACTGAAGGAACAAAACAGCAGCAGACTCACAGACTCCAGGAAGGGACTAGCAGTTGTCAAAAGGAAGGGTTGGGGAGGGAGGGTGGGTGGGAGAGAGGGAGAAGGGGATTAAGAGGCACTATAATTCACAAGCACAATATAAGTAGGTTCTGGAGAAGTCAATACAGCACAGAGAGGATAAGTAATGACTCTATAGTATCTTACTATGCTGATAGACAATGACTGCAATTGTGCAGGGCTGGGGGAGTGGTGAAGACTTGGTAATATGGGTGAATGTTGAAAACAATGTTGTTCATGTGAAACCTTCATAAGATTATAGATTAATGATACTTTAATTTAAAAAAACAAAACAAATAGGAGTTAGCCATGACAACTACAGGTGTGTTTCTCTCCACCACAGCATATGAATTAGGGCTCATGTCCTCCTGTTATGTTTAATGCTGAACTCCAGATACCTATTATACTGCCTTTGACATAGTAAAGAATGAATAAATGTTTGTTGACTGATTTATTGAAATAGGGAAGAGAGAAGAATGAGGCAGCTTGTAGGAGGTGAGAGAGAGTGGGTGGGAAGTTGAGAAGCTCCCTTGCAAGCATGCACATCTAAATGCGGGCCAGCAGGTGTACAGGTCAGGGGGTCTGCAATAACACAAGAGTTAGCTATATGACACAGAGTTAGTAACAGAGAAGTGAATATTAATTGAAGGGAGATTAAGAAGAATGAAAGTAACCTTGAGGAACACCATTATTTAAAGGATTAGCATGGAAAAAGGGATCTTTATCTGAAATGTAGATGGAAGAGCAGCCAGAGAAAGAAAAAAAAAAATAGTGCATACTCATGGGAACCAGAAAGCAAGCATTTCAGAAATATTCTTAGTTCCTGGACTCCACATCCACAGCAATCACTTCCTTTATTTCATCTAGTTACACATCCTATCACCACACCCTGGACCATTATCGTCACCAAGAAGGCATTCTCTGGGACATCTCAATGTCAGGTACCGGGCTCGCGCCCAACTACTCCTATTCTCCCCACATTCCAAGTTCGTAGCCTTCCAACAATTCCTCGATCTCACTGAGACATCCAATCCAGACCCTACTTCTTTCACCTTCTATCTTTCCTCAGAGCCTCTCACCCCTTGTAACCAGCTTAAAGTCCCCGGCCCACCATTCTGAAGCGATTTCTTCAATCTTTTGTTTTCCCTTTATCCCACTCACCTGTGAAAATCTCACCTCTAGTCAAACCCAACTATGAACCCTGATTACAAGTTACCGGACGTCACTGAAGAAGTATCAAAAAACCGAGCTCACAGTTCTCATGTTAATTTCATTATCTGGACAATGTTTGGATCCTGATTCAAATGACCCAAATGTAAAAAAAACATTCGTGAGGCAACCTAGAAAGTCTGAACATGAAGTGGAAATCAGAAGATATTAGGGAAATATTAGTAATTTTCTTAAAAAATAATAGTGTTTCTGTGGTTATTTTTTTAAGTCTCTGTCAATTATAGATACATACTTAAGTATTTGTAGGTAAAATGATAATATGCCTACGATTTGCTCTAAAATACCTAAGTGAAACAAAAGGCAGGAGTAGGAAGGTAGAGAATAAATGACATAAGATCGGCAGATGGCTGAAGCTGGGCCATGAGGACATTCAAATTTTTTATAATAAAAAGCTTAAAAATTGATCAGTTCAAGACAACAAAGTTCAAATAAACACTAATGCTGTCGCTCATGCTACTACATTTCCCTACAAAGTTTTCTTTCCTATTCTGTTAGGAACTTTTCCACAACTCTTTCATTCTTTCCAGACCTCCAACACCCTGTACCCTTGCCCCCCATTCTCAGCTGAAAACCTTGTTTCATATATATTTTTCACTGTTAGATACCAAGTCCCTCCTACTATTTTCCAACCTACTAAAACTATATATCTAGCTGTATCCATACCAGTATTATTTTCCTTCCTTCCATTACAACAGAAAAACATATCTATAAATACATAGCACAGTAATAAAGCTCCTAAAAGATCCTCAAAACTCCACTTGTGATCTGGATCCCATCTCCTCCCTTTCTATAATCACGCCATTATTTCCTCTTTTCTGTTCAACTTCTCCTCATCTTCTACTTGTTCATTCCCATTAGATACAAACAATATTTCTTCTACCTTCTATTAAAAACATCATTCTTAAATCTCATATAATCTGTACCACCTTCTTCTCTGCTCCCCGTCACAATAAAACTTCCGTAACAGTTGCCCAAAGCCACTGCTTCCACTTATCCAATTCGCATTCTTTCCTAAACTCATTCAACCTCTGACAATTCAATTCAGCTCCTTACACAGCTCCTTTCCAAATACGGCCAGAAACTATTCTAACACTCGTTCCTGCCTATATTTTGTGTACCCACCCAGCCTCCCTACAGTCCAGCTGTCCTGACTAGCTCACTGTCAGGGACACACCACCTTCTTTTACACCACTAGGCCTCTCTTCATACACTGTGCTGGTTATCAGGATAGGCTACTGAATCTGACACCTAGTTACGAGTTCTTGCTTCCTATTTATTCAGACAAACTACCTTCTCTAAGCCTCAGTTTTCATAAATTTTGTTTATGAATAAAATTGAGAGGACAATAGTGCCTGCTTCAAAGGACTGCTAATAAATCATCTCGATTAAGTATGTATGACATTGGCTGACAAATAGTAAATCCTCAACAAACATGTTAGTGTCTCTTAAGATACTCTCTTACCTATCGACTCCTTCACCAAATATTTACTGAGCTCCTCAATGAGCCAGGTATGATTTTGAAATCTGGGGACAAAGCTGCAAACAAGACAAAACCCTTATGCATTGATGGAGCTTCCATTCTTGTGTCCCCCTCATGGCACTCCCTAGCCCCCCTAATCTGCTTTCCTTCTTTTTAAGGACTAGCTGAAATACAACTTCCTCTGTGGAGCCTTCTCAGACAACCTCAGGAAAATGTAATGTTTTTCTCCATTATGCACCCTCATCAATTCTTCTTATCTCCATTATCATCACTTATTGCCTACAGAATGAGGACTCCCATGAAAACTGTTCCTTGTTCTGGCATAATACCTGGCATAAAGCAGATACTTTTGTAAAATTTAAATGAATCCATTTTTATCTAATTTATCAGAAAATTAATAAAATAAGGTAGGCCCTGATTAAAATGCAATGCCTATCTTTACCACTATCTAGCAGGTTAGCCATTATATCTGAATATCTTCATTTTTAAGTTTTAATAGCCAAATTCACCAACTTCATCTACTTTTCAAAAGCTTAGCTAAATTCCAAAAAAAAAGTGGGCTCAACGAACACTTTAAACACCACTATTACCATGTAATAATAAATGTACTTTTACTGTCAAACGGAAAATGGCAATTCAATTAACTAAAGGATAATGAAAGAAAATTAACTGGACAAACTCTAAACATTCTATGGAACCTCTTTTTGAGATCTCATCAGTAAAACTTAGTAAAATGAAGGCTAATAATGTAAAATAAATGATCTCTTACTGACTTCTGCAGTTCACAATATGCTTTTATGTATTACCTCAAAATACCACAGAACTTCAGACATAGTAAAAGGATATGCTTTGAAGTAATATGACCATCCAACAGTCAAACTGGTTGTACCTACAGATAAAACTATTAGGAATTTTCTATAGTTTGTCTGTATGAAATGACAGATCACTATCATGTTTTCTAGCAACAACAAAAATAACCCTCTTTAGTCACTAGTATTTTGTTATGAAAACATTTCTACTAGGCTAGCAGGTACGGAGTCAAACGCGATTGGATTTGCCTGCGGGCATTAGGAGTACTAAACACCTGTTATTCTGGGGTAGGCATGATACTATGAGACGTGATGTTTACTGACTGCCTACTGTGTGCCAGTACCAGGAGCCAAGAGAGGACACCCACAGAAGGGAGGTGTAACACAGATTCAGGAAGGAACCTGCAAGCCAAGTCAAACTTTAAAGGTTAGAAATTTATATTAAATCTTGGTGAACTTCAGCTTGAGGGTCATGTGAAAAAGCAATGAAACTATGTATCTTTACTGAAATGTTTCTCACATCTTTAATAATATCTAAACTGTGCTACTAAAATGCCCAACATGAGGACAACAGCTGTGCATGTGTCCCTGAAGAAACAAATACGAAGTATACTTTTTTAAGTTGAAATACCTAATTTTGGCCACGATTAGGATCAAATTTCAACCAACTAAATTCAAACCACTAACAAATTATTAAAATAATACTAGTCAGAAATCTTTATATTAGGATTATTAAAACCCAGTGCATACTGAAATCTCATACTGGAGATGCAATCACCTTAAAATCGAAGTGTTAAATAAATTTAAGTGCAAAAGATCATAAATGAAAGAAACATAGACACTCTGAAATGGATAAGGCATTTCTGTTCCCTAAACCAACAAAACAACCTCTGGCCTTCCACGAGCCACTGGCACACAAGAGCACTTGCTTCTGTAACAAATAAATTTTTCCCAAGTAAATAATTTTAAAGAGCAAAAATATCAGATATTAGGGCAGTGGTCTGATAAAAACTACTCACCTCATATGTTGCCAGCCGATCTAAGTACGTTAATAACTTCAGTCTACAGCGGCAAAGTTCCTTCTGTTCCAGTGTTAACCTGTGTTTGGGCAACTGTATTAGGCCACCTACATTTACACAGATACACATTTCTCTAAGAACTAAAATAGAATAAAAATAATCAACATTCTATGGAGCCCAAAACTCATGGGAAAATACACAAAAGCACAAGGGTAAGTTAATACTAAATGCATTTAAGTTGCTGAAATAACTCAGAAAAATTAGTCCTAGTAAAGAACACACTTAAATGACGAGTTATTTTTTTGAATTACTAGTAGTAAGTCATTTACTTTGAAAAGTTCACTAATTTAAGTAGTTTTTGCCTCTTCTTGAGTTCCTTCTTTTTATGCTCAGCAGGCTCTTCATCAGGTGGTGAAAGATCCTCATAGGAGATACTGTCTATGTCGATGTCACCAGGTAATGTAAATCTATAAGAAAAAACCCAAATCTAAATTTTTTTAAATTTCACATACTGAAATGCTGCTTTCCTCTTTCATTTTATTATTCAGGTGATTTCCACAGAAACAACCCATGATTTCGAAGAAAGCTTTTGCTACTATGAGCAAAGTGAGTCACTCATTATACCCACAAGATGAGCAAAGTCATCTGTATTCATCACATAGAGAAATTTTAAAAATCAAGAAAATGAAAACTACTTAGGGAAACATATGATGTTATATTCACCCAATGTGAAACAGCTTATGAAGAAAATGTCCAGAGTTTACTATTTGAATCACTTCTGTTTAAGGTTTTTAAAATGGTAGTAAAAGTGTCAGTCTCATTTGCATTTTTTTTATTTATCAAGTATTTTAGCACATGTCTAACCTGCAGATAAGGGAGGAGACGCGATGAGATATCAAGACCTGAAAGGATCAGCCAGGGGACTTGAGGCTTAAGAACGCAAGAGTGGTGCTGAGAGTGCACCGCTCTTATTTATTGATCAAATGGTTGTTAACAACAATAAAACTCTGTATAGGGGACTGAATGCACAATCATTAATCAACTCCAAGCCTACCTTTCAACAGTCTCCAGTCTTCTGAAGCATAATGAACAAGTTCTTAGATAGTGAACAAGTTCTTACATGGTGAACAATGCAAGGGCAGTCATATCACAGAAACTGTTTCTGTTTTGATCACGAATCATGAACTATAGACTGATGAACTATAAACAATCAAGTCAGATATGATTATTCATTTGGTTTTTATACTTGATTTATATGTGAATCCCACAAGCACATTTATATCTCAAGGTTCCAAAAGTCTGATAGCAATAGCTCTTATCAAATAACTTTATTATTATGATTATTAACAAACATATATACGGTGCTTAAAAGTTTATGAGATGATTTCACAAGATACATAATTTAATCACTCTAGTAATTTTCTGATGATAAAGAAGATGCATGAAAAAAGAAGGTGGTTCACCTGACTAATAGGCACACCCAGGTATATGTCTTAAGCCTAAAGCTTAGAAACAGCCAACATCCAATAAATATTTGTAGAATTTGCTCTTAGCATCAAGGTATATAAGTAAACATATTTAACTTAAAAGCTGTAAACTCAGGTAAGGGAGCACTGGCCAAAAGCAACTGCTTCATTACAGAATAATCTAAATAAAGAACAGTTTACCCTTTCCAATCTCAGCCTAAAGTCCCCTTCACTCTTGAATCCGTATCTTCCTGTTACCAACCTGCCATCATCTGCTCCCTTCCCTATTGCTAACAGAGCCTCCAGGTCTGTGCCTTTTAATCCATATTGAAGCAGTTCCTTTGCAGCATCCACATTTTCAGGAACTCTTTCCAAACACTCGTGAAGAACCCAGGATCGTTTCTTTATTTTACTCTGTATACAAAGAAAATAAAGAACAGAGGCATTGAAGAACTCAGGACATCTGACAGCACCTATACCTGCCTTCTAGCATTATAAAGCTGTACCTGAGGGAGTATAGCTACCTAAGACCTTTGCCACAGGTAGTTGCCAGAAAAGCTCAACTAAAAAAGCTAATTCCCTAAAGGTGATTAGAATTAGATGCAGGGAATGTGATTCCAACCGCTTTCTTTTCTTCTAATGAGACAAGGCTGAAACACAAAGCTCAGGACTCTTTTTTGGAAACACAAAAAGATTTTGCCAGACTTCTATAGCTGCTCTTTAGTTTGCATATAGGCTGTGTAAGAGAGTAGAAAATAAGCATAAAGGCAAGGTAAGATAAATCCTATTGTAACAAGCATGATTTTCTTTGAAACAAAATCTGTTAGGCACAGGACATCAAGATTCTGTGTCTGCTTGACCATGAATCACATGTACCACAAAGTGCAGGTGACAATTTAATCATAAAAAGTCATGGTATGCTATTCTTTGGAAAGACCAAGGGTGTAGTCCTCCCTCCCAAATGCTTCCTCTGACTCCATTCAAATTCCTTGACTTTCCCTTTTCCTAGAAAGGACAACTGTGATTACAAATTTGAAGCCAGATTTGACTCATACCCTACATTCCTTTTCATATTCCACCGTATCAATTCTTTCTTCAAATGTCTCTTAGCTCATTTCTCCCCTTTCTACTTTTATGGCCTCCATGTCAGTCCATGTCACTAACTCCTAATGCCGGGGCCCTGCAGAAATCCCTTGACCTTAGCAGGGTTCCCCCTCAACCACCCTCCTTCCAGCCAGGTTCATTGTCTACACCATCTTCTTCTGCACCTCCAGTCAACAGTCCACAGCAGTTCCCCAGGACCCTAAACAAACAAGCTTAAATCATCACAGGCTTTCAATATTCTCCCCAACTGAAATCAGTGTAACTTTCTAATTGTATTTCCCAATGTTCACTGTTGTCAAATATCAGATCCAGCACACTGGCTTAATTACAGAGTTTATTTACTCATCCAAGAAATATCCGCCTATGTGCCAGGCACAGAACTAGTCAGAAAGACAGAGCAATGAATTAGACTTAGTTCCTGGCCTCATGAGCCATACTCATTTTCCTTTTATTTGCTTATAACATTTGTCCCATTAAGAATGCCTTACAGTCTTCTAACTGAAGAAGGCCTACTTGGAATCCTCAAACCTGCTCAAAATATCTTCACTATATAAAGCCTTCCATAACCACTGGGTCTACAATGACTGCTACCTTCTCTGGGTTCCCAGCATTCATCTGGAATCTTCTGGTATGGTTACTTGTGTTTTAGGCACGAAACTTGTCTTTTCAGTAGGATTATAAACTCCCTTAAAGCAAAGGCCATGTTTATGCTGCTCCTGTACCCCTTCACTGTCTTTCACTTAGTGCTTTTACTCTTAACTGCCTGTTCATTTAACTGAATTAAGTATCTCCCCCCAATAAAAAATGTACTTGCTTTGTTTCTCCTAACACCTTTCAACTCCTTCAGGATTAAAATTGTCCTTTACTACCTTCCAGAGAAGCCATAAATGAAGACAGATGAATTCATGAGTTCACTGTCCTGAGTGACAAAAGAAGGGGGAAAAATAATACAGGTCTGGTGTTCTGCTATTCGAAAGATAATACAAGCAACTTTTTCTTCTTTTATTTCATAACCTCTCATGCTCACTCATTTCTGATGTCAATCTTGTAAAAAAAGTTTATCTTCCTGTTTGGAAGCATCAACTTCTTACATACAAGACTTTCAGATTACCTTTTTGTGTACTTTTAATATACTCATGTACATAAATATTTAGGGAAAACAATTATCATGACATTTCCCAACATTTCTTAGAAATCTTCCTAAGTGCAAAGGTATTTTCCTTTCTGAATGTCAGAGAAGTTATATCCTCTTAAAACATGCAATAAGTTCTACTACTTGCTCACAAAGGTGCCAAGGGTCCAAATATACAGGCTACATAACAACTTTAACTGTGGTAGCAGGGAGCTATTGAAGGAACTAAACAAAAAAAAAGGGTATTTGGCAAGCTTGATATGTCAGTGACCTGTTGCCTCAGCTTCCCAAATCCTCCTCACAGCCAGCTGTGGGACAGACAGCATTCCCCATTTGCAGCTGACACCTTATTAAGCCTCGTGGGTACAGGGCACTGGAGGGCCACAGCAGAGGAAATGGCTCTGATTTCTAGTCCTAATGTGCTCTGGTTCTTTTCTTACTCCTATGGCTTGGCAGCCAGAAATGCATGCCGCGGACATCCAGTGGCATTTACCCTACCCCTTCTCCACCGAGGACTACTTCCCATTAAATTTCAATCGTCCTCGTGAGCAGGTTTCCTTTCGGTGAACCCCCCAGGCATTGGAGGAGGAAACTTTCCAGATTATGGCCACCTGCACTCTAGCGGGAGTCTTGTCTTTTCTTTTCGGTCCCAGCCACAGTTCCTTCGCACTGGCCTTGAGCAGCATACATGCGGGCGAGTTTTCTGACCCTAACCTCAGCTCACTGGCACACCTCAGAACAGCATCCAGTTTGTCTGCGCACATCCCACCTGTTCCTGCCTGCCAACCTTGGCAACTAAGGCCCAGCCCTGACCCCAGACAACCCAGAGAACTTTTCCATCCTATGTGCTACAACCACTCCTTGTCCAATGAGGTCTGAGCCCCGGCCCAGGGGAGACCTCCCTTCCAAGTGTGTTCCCGACTTGGGTATGCTCCTTCAGCCTTACAGTATTCCTTAGAGTTCTCTTTAAACTTTTACAGTTAATCTCCCATTATGAGAAAACTATTCTCCATATTAAAACTTTTCCTGTTCAAATTACCATGTAGTTTCTGGCTCCTGACGGTACCCTGACTGATATAAGTGAAAAAAGGTAACTGAGGTAGAGAAGGAGAAAGGATTACGCCAAACTCAGGTAGGTGGCGGGTTTATCAGCGAATATGTGTTCATATGTGTTCAATACCAAAGTCCAGCTGCAGGGTCAATGCAACCAAATAAGAAGAAAATTTCTCCAGGTTGAGTAAAACACACTTCATCAGCTCTAGAGAAATCAGCAATGTAACTACATGAAATCCTATAATCAAAAAATATTCTCTACATTTGAATTTTGCCATGTTACCAAAATATGTAAGCATACCAAGTAATTCTGAATCGAAGCAATGTTGACGGCAGACTTCCTCCACTGCCTCTGGTACACCAGATCGGCGTCTAGGCCATAGGTCTGCGCCAGACACAGGGCTTCCTCGAACTCTTCACTTTCAATCTTTGGACAAAGAAATGGGAACACGAATGTTACATTACTGAACTGTCCACAGTGTCACTCTGATGATGTAATGAACTGTGATAAGCCTTCCACCCACAAAGCATGTTCTGCGTCCCTAATTATCCTCATGGGCACCGTGGCAGAAGCCCCTAGGGGCAGACAGATCAAGTATTTCTTTCACAATTTAACAGAAAGCTGAGAGACAGAGGTGAAATGCCCACATTTATAGAGTAAAATGATGGTAAAACCAGGAAGAGCAGTACTGAGAGCCTGACTCCGAGTCATGATACTGTACGAACAGCACAAACAGCTAAATACTCGGGGTTGATCAAATCTACTTTCCCAAGCAAACCCCTGACCAGGAAGTAGGTTTGCACGTCTTCCCTCATCACCTGTAGTCGGAGTGAACAGACGTACTTAAACACATACAGGTGAGAGTCACACGAAAGGTAGAAAAACCCAGGCTAAGCCACAAAGCGGACGGCCGATCTAAGTGGGAACACACCTTCTGTCCACTATTTCTGCTTTGATTACTCAGGCACAAAGAGCAGCATTATTTTCAAAAGCTTTATAATACTGGTATTTTTAGCATTTCAATGATGTAACAAACCCTCTTTAAATTTCTTTATTAAAAAGTTAGTTATTTCACAATAAAATAAAGTCGTGATGCCTGCAAACTTTGGCAGCAGTAAGACACTCTCACCTTTCTCTGATACAGCTCCTCGGGAGTCGTGGAGCGCAGACTCACAAGGCGGTAGTTCTTCGTAATGGTTCGGGGGCGTTTCCGTGGAGGTGCAAACCGCTCCATCTCCGTCACGAGGTACAGACCCTGTTTTATGACCCCAAAGTAGCGGGCCTGGGCAGATAGCTCCTGATCAGAATCAGAGTCCTCTTCTCCGTCTTCGTCTTCTCCACTTCTTGTCTCCAAACGAGATCGTTTGGGGGCAAGTTTAATCTCACACTAAAGTGAAAAACAAGACATTGACTTAACAATGAGGAACTAAAGACAAGTTTTAGGGTTAGGGAGAAAAATTTTAATTCTACTCTGGTTTGATTCATTACAACAGCAATGTAATTAAGGCAGGAATGGAATTCAAAGGAGCCCAACTACAAACATCATACACACCAACAGCTCCAGGAATAGGCACTACATTATTGGCTCCGAATCTCCAAAACAAAAGCTTGTTTTAATAATAGGTCATTAATATGACCTCATAAAGATATGCTTGGTAGTCATTTCAGGGAAATAAAGAAATTAATGTTAATTTTGTCACTTTTGACATTTTCATACTTGCTGTGGAAAAATATGATAATTTTTTAAACCTCTTTAGAAATGAACATGCAAGTATTTATTTGTTTTTCCAAGAATAGCTCTCTTGCCCTCCCCTTTTCAGGAATGTCTATCAGCTTCACAAAGTTCTTAGTCTGAAAACCTGCCTGTTAAAGATAACTTTCATTCCAGACTTAACAGAACTGGCTTAGGTTGTAAGCCATGGTTCTCTGTAAATAATATTTCTAGATTTGGTAACAAACTTTGAGATAATAAATACTTGTTAATCTGCATTGAAGTGAAAGCCATTGAAGCTCATTACTCTTGGAAGACTTAAAATATGAATTTTTAATGACGAAAACATAACTTTAAAGTATTAACCCCTATTTTCAAGTTTTTTGTCATGATAAGCAGTTTTCTTACTAAAAGAACAAACTTTTTAAGTTGTCACAATTCATGGTAATAGGCTAAAGACTCAATTCTTAGGTACTATATATCTTAGACAACACTTTTCCATTTTAAAATGACTAATCTAGGAAAAAGGAAAATAATCTATCGTCATTAAAGAAAAAAAATACACAGAACAAAAGACTTAAGTTTTACTCATTCTTTAACAATGCAAGGTTTTTTTAACTTACTAAAAAATAGACTTTTTTTAACACTACTCAATCACTGATTCCAATCACAGATTTGTATTTAAAGACAAAATTAGATAATGAGATCTAAAATTTTAAAACTAGATATTTAGATTTTTGGTGAAATACATGTGTATTTTAAGCATACTGGCTGCTCTGAAAGGAAAAGCATTACCTCCAAACTTAAAAATCCCCCATCGTGGGTAGCAGTGACTTGAGGTGATGGTTCAAACCATTCACAAGATTTTCCCAGTAAATTCTTCAAAGTTTTCACTGACGAAACAGTCAAAGCACCAGAGCAGCGAGCCAAAATGACCGCACTGTCTGCCCACCAATTTACATCTATCAGTGGATAAAAGGACTCTTTATCTAAAGGGGGAAAAATGAATCAACACAAATGAATCTGTCAGTGTGGTTTAAATGCAACACATTTAGTCTAATAATCATTTTTAAACTGTATTTGGGCCTTACAGGTGTATTAATAATAAAAAATAAATTATAAATCAACACTCAAACTTTTACAAAATGGTCATTTATTTAATAAACATCTGAATGCTAACAATTCGCCAGTCTAAATCCAAAGTTCCAGTGTTGCAGAGGGAAATATGTTAAGGTCTTTTCTTTCAAAGAAGTAAGACTATACAGATATATGTCAACAATTTCAACATAATAAGGTAGGTGTGTACAAAGTGTACATATTATTAAGATTATAAAAGGCTTTAGAAAATATTCATACATCACTTTTCAAACAATATGAGAGAATTATACTCATTTAAAAATTAATCCAGATATATAATGGTTTTCAATGTTGATTACCTCTTAAACTCTGAAGGGGATCAGGATATGCCACCCCGGAAGATGCCACTTTGACATAAGAACTATTTTAAATGAAAGAATTTGAGAAACTCAGTTCTTTTCCTTCGTCTTGTCATTTCTCTAACAACTTACTGTTCTTTTGCTAAGATACTGTATCAACCCAATTTCTACCTAAGCCTTGGAGTTACTCATCTCTGGGTACTCCCTGTATAAGTGAAACATAGATGCTAATAAACTTGTTTCTCTCATTTATCTGTTTTCTGTCAATCCAATTTTATAGGGCCCCAGCCAGAGAACCTGGAGAGTAAAAAGAAAAAGATATTTTCTTCCTCCACAGATCAGCTAAAGAGCACCTTTATCTATATTAGAGGAGTTTCTTAAGGTTCTTTTTTTTCTTTTTTTAAGGTTCTTGTCATATTTCATACAACTCACCTTTGATTTTTTTCCTCTTCTCAGTAGATAGTCTCCAATCAGGATTACAGTCATCATAGCCTGGCTAAATATGAAAAATATGCACATGACTTCCTGAGTCAACAATGTGAGAAAATTTTGAGAATGTATCAAGAACTATGGATTTTTTTAAATAACAAATATATTGAAATTATGCATTCCTTTGATCTTAGTTTTATCTAGCTGAAACCTACTCTTCACCATAACCTTGAAAAGCAATTGTTCATACACTTAAAATGTGTACATGCCACACACTGTGACTCAAATTAATGAAAAAATCTTGAGCATAAGAACAGTAAGTTAGCAAGTACTCAATTAATAAAAATGAAACCAAGGTACACTAGCAATGCCCTCTACACAGACCCACACTTACACGCTTACACACAGGGAGGAGAAGAGCAATGCTGATGTGAATAAACACTGGCCTGAGCACAAGTCCTGCCCCTCCCATGCAAGCTGAGCAACCCCTCCTCCGGCCTTGACTTCTACAACCTGAGACTGGACTCCACGACCTCCCTTATCTCCAGTTTTAGCTTTTTATGGCTAAAAATTGACTGAGTAAAAAAATACAACCATGCAATCCTCAAACTAAATCCATTTCTATTCTAATCTCATGGAACACAATGCCATGCCCACCTCTGAGAACATAACGATACATCAATAACTCTCAAATATAAAACAACTGAGATTAGGCTACTTCCACATCCCTTCCTGGCTCACTATTAATTACTTAATCTTCAGAATTACAGGAGTATGGGGAAAAAATCATTTGGGTGTTTATCTGAAATCTTAAGCCTAAAAAACTTATGCTATACTTTGGTCAAAATGTGCTTTTTCATCTAAATATAATGGAATAAACATATATGTTTTATTAACAATTTCTCAGTGGCTAATACTTTATTAAAATCGATATTTTTTTCCATGTCCTGAAAGAACGTCCTGCTCACCACTACCATGATAAATCATTCAGAGCAGTTCCTGAGTACAGAAGATAAAATTCTTTAAACTTTATCAGGAAAAATGTTATCATAAAAGGCTCTTTTATATACTAAAGGAAGATTTTAGTATATTGACTGTCCTGCTCTACTTAATCATAAAAAAATATAAGTTTTGAAGATTTAGACTACAATAAAGTGTGTATTACTGAAAGTAGTCAATAAATTGAAACTTTATATGAGCCTTTATAAGGCACTTTGGGAGGTTCCAGTGTCTTCGCATCACCAGTTGTACGCGCTCCCACAGTACCACATTTGCACCATCATTTGTTGTATGAGCACATGTGTGCCTCCTTTCTCACAGTCCAGATCACACAGGGAGTATGGAATGATACTGTAAAACTTTAAGCCCCACCAACAACAATTATGATTCCTCCCTGGATAAATTTAAGGACATACAGGTCACAATGAAACTTAACAAGAAATCTTCAGCAAAATTTTGAAATCATTTCCCTGGCATAAGTTTGAGAATTCAAAGTGTGCCTGTCTTCATTTAAGTAAATGATAAGAAAGAGCACCATGAACAAGCAATACAAGCTACTAGAGCCAGTCCCCAGACACTCTGGGTAGACTGTTCCTTCCATGTAGATTGCTTAAACAAATGGGTGTGTCTTACGAATTCAAGTTTAAACACAAGGGGAACATGTGTTCTTCAGCCTCCAGAACACTGTCAGAGCATGCTCATATTCCCAAATCCATCAGAGTGCCCACCTATGGGTCAGTAGCTAACTGCTGACTGAGTGAATGAATTAATCCATCTTTTAAATCACTGTACTCTAATTAGAATGTCTAAGTTATAGGAAAACTAGATGACAGAGTACCAGTATTCCTACAGCCCCTCAAAGTGTGACTTCTTCTGCTAACTTAGTGAGTGAATACCATGCACTTACACTGTGAGAGAAGAAAAATCAGACATTACCCCAAACTCAAGTAGACTGAGAGCTAAGAAATGGATATAAATGACTATAACCCAAACTCAAACTGGGTAACAGCTCAAAAAGAGGTACAGATAAAAGTGTAAGGGCTCTTCAAAGGATCAAGAGATCATTCAGGATATGGGCTTGAGAGGTGCAAAGAAAGCCTTGCGGTACTGTACTTTCAGGAATGCCTGGATGTGGAAAATGGGTACGGGACAACATTCCAGTCCAAGAACACAATGAGAACAAAAGTACACAAGAAGGAAAATACTGCTTCTTCAGGAAAAATAATTATTCAAGTCAGTTTAAATCAAGTATAGGACATCAGTTATAAGAATCTGACATTTTTATTTGTCAGTGAAGTCTTTTGGGGGTAAGGAGTTCATGACGTCATTTAACAATTTAAACATAAACAGAGTAGCATTTAGTACCTTCACAAGTTTCTGCAATCTCTACCTCGTTTCAAAACATTTCTTATCACTCCAAAATAAAACACTTATCCATTAAGCAATTACATTCTCCCCTCCCCCCAGCCAAGAACTATCTACTTTCTGCCTCAGTGATTTGCCTGTTCTGAATATTTCATATAAATGGAACTCATACAATATGTAACATTTTGGGTCTGGCTTTTTTCATTTGGCATAATGTTTTCAAGGCTCATCCACAGTCACACACGTCAGTACTTCATTCCCTTCTGTGGCTGAATAATGTTCTAGTATAGCTACGCACTGCAATTTCTTTATGAACCCCTCTATTAATGGGCATTTGAGTTGTTTCCACCTCCTGGCTATTATGAATACTGCTCCTATGAACATGTATATAAATGTGTTTTAAGTACTTATTTCAAAATCTTTTCTGCATATATCTAACCATCTACATTTTTGCCTATGCAGTACATAGCAGATTCACTCTAGGTATGTGGACTACATGTATAACTTCACAATATAGGGGAGTTTGATTAAATTATCTGTTCACTATGTAGAAGAAATAAGTGCAAAATTCCAATCTTAACTGTGCTCCAGACAGAGGTGGCATGCCAGATAAGCAATCTGACAGCCTGGCCCTCACTTTTCTTTTTTCTTTTTTTTTAAAGAACTGATTTTTTAGGGACTTAATACATTGTTTTAATGAAATAATTACTTTGTAGTCTCTGGCTCTGAACATCCATTTCTTTGAAGTGATTTGCAGATGTAAGGAACTTACCCAAACTACAAAATTATTGGATGTAGACATTAGGCCATGAGTTTCGTGCTTCTCTAAGACAGCTCAGTAAAAGTAAATAACTAACTAAACCTGAGGTGACTGTCTCTTGTTTTTGGGGATCTTTAATGTTGATTGAGCCGTGAAATCACAGAGTGGAACATCAGCATTTGGAGAAAATCCTAAAAAGTCCAACTGTCTACCTAGTAAGAGATTTACTCAATGACTTTCCTGTTAGGTGTCTGTTCAGCATGTCTTAGAAATATGGTAATGTGGAGCTCACGACACTCACCCTCTTCATAATTTGAAAACTCTAATAGTGCCTACTGAATCAAAATCTTTTTTTCCTTTCTGCTCATTGGCCTTCACTTGGTCTTCCAAAGCTAACAGAATAAGTATTCTACTTATATGCAGTAAGTTATAACAACAAAACACCTGGTGTTTATTGGCTGCACTTATCAAAGGGTGTTTAACCCTTTGATAAGGACATTATTTTTTTCAATAAAGTATTATTGATATACAATTTTAAGGTTTCAAATGAACAACCTTGTGGTTTCAACATTCATCTATACTATCAAATCACCCCAACCCCACCCCATTGCAATCACTGTCCATCAGTGTAGTAAGATGCTATAGCATCACTTGCCTTCTCTGTGCTGTACTGCCTTCCCCATGACCTAACAATATTGTGATTGTATATTATAAAGCCCCTTAAACCCCATCTCGCTGCCCACCCACCCTCCCCAACCCCTTCCCTTTGGTAATGGAGAGTACCTTCTTGGAGTCTGTGACTATGCTGCTGTTTTGTTCCTTCAGTTTTGCTTTCGTGTTATGCTCCACAGATGAGTGAAATCACGTGGTACTTGCCTAACCTCATCCCTGGGTAACTGCTAGTCCCTTCTTGGAGTCTGTGAGTCTGGTGCTGCTTTATTCTTTCAGTTTTGCTTTCTTTTTATACTCCACAAATGGGTGAAATCATTTGGTACTTGTCTTTCTCCACCTGGCTTATCTCACTGAGCATAACGTCCTCTAGTTGCATCCATGTTGTTGCAAATAGTAGGTTTTCTTTTTATGGCTGAATAATATTCCAGTGTGTATATGTACTAACTCTTATTTATCCACTCATCTATTGATGGACACTTAGGTGGATTCCATTTCTTGACTATTGTAAATGGTGCCACGATAAACATAGTGGTGCACATGTCTTTTTGAATCAGGAATCTTGTTTTCTTTGGGTAAATTCCTAAGAGTGGAATTACTGGGTCAAATGGTATTTCTTTTTAAGTTTTATGAGGAACCTCCATATTGTTTTCCAGTACGGTTGAATTAACTTACATTCCCACCAGCAGCGTAGGAGGGTCGCCCTTTATCTGCATCCTCGCCAGCATTTGTTGTTCCTCATCTATTGAATGCTGGCCATCCTAACTGGTGTGAGGTGACATCTCATTTTGGTTTTAATTTGGTTTTCCCTGATAATTGGTAATGTGGAGCATTTTTCATGTTTATCTGTTCACTATGTAGAAGAAATAAGTGCAAAATTCCAATCTTAACTGTGCTCCAGACAGAGGTGGCATGCCAGATAAGCAATCTGACAGCCGGGCCCTCACTTTTCTTTTTTCTTTTTTTTTTAAGAACTGATTTTTTAGGGTCTTAATACATTGTTTTAATGAAATAATTACTTTGTAGTCTCTGGCTCTGAACATCCATTTCTATGAAGTGATTTGCAGATGTAAGGAACTTATCCAAACTACAAAATTATTGGATGTAGACATTAGGCCATGAGCTTCGTGCCTCTCTAAGACAGCTCAGTAAAAGTAAATAACTAGCTAAACCTGAGGTGACTGTCTCTTGTTTTGGGGATCTTTAATGTTGATTGAGCCATGAAATCACAGAGTGGAACATCAGCATTTGGAGAAAATCCTAAAAAGTCCAAC